GAGATTTTCAACTTTTATTTCCCTTAATACAATTTCTAACCTATAAATTTTTTTTTATTTTTTTAATAATATATTTGGATTAAGGAGAATAAATACGAGAGGAAATAAAAAATTTTCTTTATTTTTGTTATCATAAAAAATTAGAGGAGAGAGAAGGAAAAAAAGTCTTTTACTTTATTTTTTAAATTTATTTACTTATTACAACTCCTCTCCCTGTTATTCTTCTTAATTCAAATATACTATTAATAACCTTTTATACTAATTATTCATATATCAATTTCTTATCAAATATAATAAAATTAATTTCTCAATAATATTTTAACAAAATTTTATTACAAAACTTAACAACTTTGCATATGAAACTTTTTCAATCACTTCCCCAATTAAAACATTCTCAAAAAAAATTTATCCTTAACCAAACGCACCTTTACTGTAATGCTGACGAACCATGAGAAAATTTTACCAAAAAAAACGAAAAAGAAAAACCATGACAAGTGGAACTTGAAATTAAAATTATTTAAACCTTATTTCATCTTGGGACAATTTTTTTAGATAATTTTTTATATAAATTTTATATATTATTAAATGAATAAATACATTTAGTATCATGAGTTTTAAAGAACAAAAAAAATTAATTATTAAAATAACACATAAAATTATAAAAAAATAATCCAAACAAATTATCATTAAATTATTTTCCTTTTGTCTTTAACATATTTATCTAAATATCATATTAGATCGGTAATTTTAACAAAATTTTATCATAAAATTTAATATAATTTTTATAATATTTTTTCAATCACTTCTCAATTAAAACATTGTCAGGAGTGTTTATCTTTACCTAAACACAACTTCAGTGCAATGCTGACAAACATGGGAAGTCTTTTTAAGAAAAAAAAGAGAGAGAAACTACGAGTTGAAATTAAAGTTCTTTAAACCTTGAGGAGTGCTAGGGGCAGTCGCCTTCTGCACTCTCCGGCCAACACTTTCACTATTATTGGGCCACGTTATTCTGGTCGGAAAGAGGTTGACTTGAAAGCTTGCAACGAGCTTACGTGGCCCAATGAAAGGGGAAGTGTTGGCCGGAGAGTGCAAGAGGCGAGTGCCCTTAGCACTGCTCTTAAACCTTACTTCATCTTTAACACATTTATCTAAATATCATATTATATTAGTAAAGAGAGTACTGTTAAGTGCATTCGGTTGCCTGCTGAGTGCACCAACACTCAATTATTGATTGGATGACTTTATTTATTTATTTAAAAATAACTGTACCCTTGAATAATTAAGTATTGTTTAGCAAAATTATAATTTTG